ACCCTCCTCCGTCTTGGAGCCGTTTTGGCGCGGTGTTTTCGGCGTAGCGACGGCAGCGTCGTCCCTTTTCGGCCCGCGGGGGCCCGAACGAGTTCCAGACTCAAATCCGACTCGGCAGCTCGGAGATTAGCTGCGATGGGCGCCAGGAAGCGTCAGGGATCAGCAGACGCTGAGGGCGCTCCAGCTTGCAAGGTTGCGCTCCCTCGCCGCGGCAAGGCTCCGGGCAGTGGCGCCGATCCCGTGGCCTGCGCCCGCTGCTCGGAGCCCGTGGATCGACAGTCTGGCTTTCGAGGCAAGGCCAGCGGACGCGGTGGTCTGCCGATGCACGGCTGCGACCAGTGCTACACGGGGTTCATTCGCCACTTCCAGCAGGACATGGCCTGGCAAGACTTTGTCGAGAGGTGCCATGAGGACGGGGGCTTCAACAAGGACTGCGAGAGTAAGTGGCAGGCCGACTCCGAGCTTGCCGCCAGTATTGAAGATGCTCTTGTGGAGCACGGCAGCGTCGAAGTTGATGTGATCTACGGCCAGGAGATCAGCAAGACGTCGATACAGTTATCCAAGGACCAGTGGACGGAGAAGGTCTGCCCGAAGGGTGTGGCTGGCATATCGCCTGAGATGTGCAAGGTGGAGGAGACTCGGGTTGCCTCTTCCACTCAACCAGGCGTGAGCTCGACTGGCGTCGTCTGCCAGCACCCGAGTAGGCCCTACACGGAGATCAAGAACTACACCAGGACAGAAGTTCGCATGAGCACGGTCAAGATCACGGCCGCGAAAGCGGCAGCCTCAGGAGGAGAGCAACCGACGTTCAAGCAGGAGATCACTAAGATCAGACAGAAACAGGCGACGATACTCAGAGGGAATGCCAAAGTGCCGACGCTCGCCCAGTTGCAGGACATTGCAGCCTCGGAGGCTACCAGCCGTGGGCTCCTGGTGGCGCCAAAGGCCTCTGGTGCATCGCGTGCTGATTCGGATCTTCTGGCCATCGAGGACGCGGACGTCGACGAGCTTGAGGGCGATGCAGGCGATGGCGAGGGCGATTCGCAAGGCGCGGCCTTGCCGAGACCCGCTGGCTCCAAGGCCGCGGCAGCGTTTGCGACCGCTAGGGGCTCTACCGCTCGCCGAGCTTCGGGCGCCAGCTCTGCGACGCAGGCCAAGGCTGCTACTCCCACGTCGTCGCGGATCGCGAGGCTTTCGTCAGGTGGCTTGGCTGCCTTGGATTCGCCAGCATGCGGACCTGGATCACCTGCCCCAGGTCGCGACCGATCGAGGTCGCCAGCGCCAAGCCACGCGACGCACGTGAGCTCTGGGCGCAAGGTTGTTCCGAAGGCCGCGCAGGGCGCCCTGGCCAACGACAAGATTCGGTGGGAGCAGCTGAAGCAGGACGTCGTCATCTCTGACATCCTCGACGGAGCCCTGAAAGGCGATCGCGTGTACTCCTTGAAGAGGTTCAAGCCTCAGTCGCCCAGCATGGCAATCATGCCTGAGACACTGTACAAGAAGGCTGAGACAGCGACGCTACTGAGTAACAACCTGAGCGAGATGAGTTGGGATCAGATCTGTGCACACCTCAAGGTTCTCTCAAATGAGGAGGTCGAGAGCGCCTCCAGCTTTTCACAGGACCTGCTCAGGAAGTACTTGCAGCTGGCCGAGCCTACGATCGATCAGATCACGGATGCGATCGTGCCTGTCGCAGCTTGCGCCGACGCCTTCAACATGTACGAGCCCAAGCTCTCTAGCATGACGGGGTCCATCGACTCCAGGGTGGCGGTGTCTCGGGAGATCCTCATGGACATCGTGGTGCTGCCTGGCTTGGAGAAGCCTGCCTTGGTCGATCACACGCAGGCGCTTGGCATCAGGTTGACCGACCAGTTCAGGGCTACCATGCCAGAGTGGAGCGCCAGCGTCAAGGACTACTACGAGAAGGTTGCGGGGGTGGGGCTCTTGCTGACCCACTTGGGCAACGACGACCCCGAGACGTTCTCGGACTGCGCTCCACATATGTCGTTGCTGGTGAATTTGCTGACAGGGGGGTTCTCGGATACAGAGTGGACGCCTCTCTCTGAAGCCTTCGGGAAGCACAAACCTTGGGCCGAATGGAAGTCTTCGTTTCGACGGGCTGCGTCGACTGACCTCCAAGCTGCTCCGAAGATGAACGCGTTGATCATGAAGTTGAAAGCCGCAGACCTCGATCAAGAGGGCCTCGATGCTCTTACATCTGCAATCTCGTCCATCGGCCATTGGAGGAAGACGTGCCGTGGCAAGGCATCGTCGACGCTGAAGGCGGAGCAGGCAGTCGAAGACACCATCAAGAGGCTGGCAACTACGATCATCGACAGTTCCGAGGCCCTCGTCAACTTGGACGTCTTGGGCAAGCTCGAGGAGATCATGCACCACTTCTCTGTGGCTGCGGAGTTCGCGCTGGTCGAGGATGGTGGTAGACTGGCGGGTATGTACGCTCGCTTGCTGGACAAGCGCAACGCTGCCGAGACCTGCGGGGGCGAGACTGAGATCCTGGAGGCGGCTCGCAAGTACCTAAGCGATCCCATCGAGAATAACGCGGACGCTCTGCACAACACCCTCCAGCGCAACATGAAAGTTGCCATCGGCGGGGAGACTGAGATCACCGTCATCGCGAGGACTGTAGCCCTGCTCCACCAGAAGATCGAGCTGCTGGGGACGAGCGACGTTGACGAGCTGGTGAAGGGACCTGAGTTCAGCACGTTGGTCCGCAGGGGCATGCTGCTGGAGGGCATCGGGGACCTTCTGATGAAGACGATCAAGCACGACGGCGACGGGTCCAGCCTCAGGGTTGCCATCAACATGAGGGGGCTACGATGTGAGGTCGAACCTCCAGATGGCACAGCTGTTCGCGAAGTTCTTGTGTACAACAACGGACCAGGATGCAGACTACCAGATGATCAAAGACGCATTCGATGAGCTTTCATCGATGATGAAGGTGCTTCCTGCGACGGCCTCCGACGACTGCGACGATGCCCTCGCGCAGTATGGCTTCGAGGACTTCAAAGCATTCTCAGCGATCGTGGACCCTTGGAAGCCTGCCGCCGTGAATGCCATGAACATGTACTCCCAGTCACGCGTGGGAGAAGCAGTCAGGGCGGCGAGCGAGGTCAGCAAGAAGCTTGCGAGCATCGCTGGTGGCATGAGCGACGGTAGCGGCTGGCTCGATAGCTTCGTTGGTGACCAGTCGAGTTTCGACGAGATCTACGCCCACATGCGGACCACGATCTTTCGCCAGATCGGCATCAGCAACAAGATCAAGTCTCTCGAGCGTGAGCTTCGCGAGAAGCAGGCCGACTTCACGAAGATCGCTGGCGACTTCAACGTTCCAGAGTTGGGCTTCAAAGAGGCCCGAGACGAGTGGCAGCAGACAATGGCAAAAGCAAACTTGACGGTGTCAGTGGCTTCGCTGGCGCAGTCGGCGTCGTCGAAAGGGCCTCAATCGGTGGATGCACTCCAGCGCAGCATCGACGCGATGCAGGCCAGGTCAGTGGCCGTGGAGGCGATCCCGCCAGCGCTGTGGGCCGAGGTCCAGCGCAAGCTGGCGCAGTGAGGGCTTCGAGGCGCAGGCCGCTCCGCTGCCGCGCCCAGGGGGGAAGGGAGGAGGAAGAGGAGGAGAAGGAGGGGGAGGAGGAGGAGGAGGGAGGAGGAGGAGGAGGAGGAGGAGGAGGTAAGGAGGAGGAGGGAGGAGAAGGAGGAAGAAGGGAGAGAGAGACGGACGCCCAGCACTGCACGGCCGAGACGAGGGGCGCCGCCGCTGCTGCCGACAAAGCCTTTCCTTTGAACTGCCTCCTCCCTCTTCTCTCTTTCTTCCTTGCTCTTGCTTCTTTCCCACTGCAACCTCCGCCCTCCTCCTCCTCCTTCTCCTCCTCCTCCCCCTGCCTCCTCCTCCTTCCTCGTCCGTGTCTCCACCAACCCTCCTCCTCCTTCTCCTCCGTGTCCTAGTTGTCTCGATGCTGATGTGTACGGTATCGATCGGTGCCAGTGGGTTCGCCCATGAACGTGCAGTCTTAGAATCGGCTCTCGAAGTTGACAACCCCCCTGGCGGCCATCAAATGTCATGGCTGTTTTGTGAGCCCTTCGCCTGCCCAGGAAAGTGTTGATGACTGTTCGGAGACCACCCCGAGGGTGGTGATCACCCCAACTTCGACGCCAGGGTGTAGGGCATCAAACTCGATGGTCGTTTCGGACCATCCAAACCCATCAATTGTCATACTAACCTCTAGACTGCCAAGAGAAGTCTCAAATCTATCGGCGATGTATTGCCAATTCCAGGTCGATGCATCCATGTCCGACCTAATGGTAACGTCACGTTTCGCGCTGGCGCCGTCTGGGAATGTTTGAAAATAACCACATACGCTTCTGGGGTATAGCCAGGGCCCCAGGTAAGGTAGGGCCCCAGGGCCCATGAATTGACCAGAACCACCGAACCAGGTCTGCCGCAGCTGGTGTTTCTTTGGGTGACGGCAGTTCCGGTTAGTGGAACGGGGCGGGGGGGCGTCCCCCAGTACACATCACTAAACCAGGTCCCACTAAACCCAGTTCTGCCAACGCCCGAGTTTCGGACTCGGTTGCTCAATGGAGGCCTTACTAGCTTGCCGGTCACCGCCGATTCGACTTCTCTCGACTTGGCTGCCGATGTGCGCCGATCCGATTCATTTCGATCGCCGATCCGACTTATCGATTCGATTCTCGGCTCTCCCGCCCGAGGGGTCCAGGACCCGCTTCCCTCAGGCACCCGCTTGCTTCATGCCCGTTTGCGCTCGGGGTTGCAGTCAATGGTAGAGTGCGGCTTGGCACCGCCGGCTCTTTTACATCACACGCCATCCCCCACCCTTCGGGATGGCGCGCGCCGAGCGAGCCCTCGCAGGGCAAGAGCGTGCGCAGGAGGGGCCCTCGCGGGGAGACCACCTCACACGGATCGCGTGCCCTTCGGAGACCGACGGCACGCGCTGTCCTTGCGTCGCCGACCCGACGAGGTGCTGCTCGAGCCGCTGGAGGCCGTCAACGTCGTCCACTTCGCCGCGGCGAGCCCCGCCGCGCCCTGGCCCGGGGCCGGCGCCGCCCTGCAGGAGTGGTTCGCGACGATGCTGCCGAAGAGGTCACGCAGGGACGAAGCGTCCCGGCTCGCCCACGGTCGCAGAGATTGACACCAACACCAATACCGGCGGTGTGCATCCACCGAGGGAAGAAGATCCCGATCTTGGTGATGGTGGTAATATTCTGGCTTCCAAGGTGGCCGAAATATTACCACCAACACCGAAATCTAGGATCGTCCTCCCCCTGTGGAGGCAACGCCCTGTGTTGGTGTTGGTGCCAATTTCCAGGCCTCCAACACGGGCCCACCAAAGAATGTTCGAATAACCTTTTGTGGTTTCAACGAAATGTTCGTGGACCATTTCTGGCTGGGACAGTTTTGGTTTCACACCTCGGGCGAATGTTTTCAGAACGTTGTTCTTGTGATTCGGACATTTAGGGGTTCTAAGAGCATTTGGTGGTACGGTAGGTTCGTGTCGTGTCGACCGGTGGCGACCCCGCCAGCGGCGCTCAACTTTGAGCGCCGCGGGCGACCCAGAATCGTTCGATGTGGAACGATTTGGACGTTTCGAAAGACGCCCGATCGTTCGAGGTTGAAATCTCCCCGCGGTGTTAGACGCCAGCGCCCGGGTCGACACGACCCGAACCCCCCACGGTGGGCCTCTGGGAATGCCGGAGCGGTCGGCCCCTGCTCGGAGAGGTGCGAGGTGGCCCCGCACTTTGACATCTCCCTCTTCGGCCTGCAGCCCCCGAGCCAGTAGAGACTCCGCCGCGCGCGGAGGGGGGGGTAGTTAGGGGGAGGGGCGGGGGCTTCTTGGTAGCACCCCTCTGCTTCCTGGATCAGGCGATCGTGAAGATGGATCAAGGGGGCGTAGTTTAGCGACGGGTCCCGTTTCCATTGGAAACCGCGGATTTCCGCCGCCGAGCGAGGCGGCACCGGCCGCGCTTTGTGGAGGGCACCTCCCCGGATCCATGGATTTGGCGACCGCGCGCCAAATCCACGGATCGCTAATCCGTGTCTGCGCGCCCCCGACTGGAGGGCGCGGGCCATCTCATGCAGATGTGAGGCTGGCGCCTTCTGAGAGGGAGCCTCCTTCTGAAAAGCCTTCCCCTCTCCCCCATACCCCTGCCTACTTCGTTCCTCCTAAGAAGCCTTCCCCTCTCTCCCCCCTTCCCCTCTCCTTCTAAGAAGTCTTCCCTTCTCTAAGAAGCCCTCCCCCCTCTTGGTGCGCGCGGCCAGCAGGCCGCCTCTCCGCGGGCGAGGGCGCGGTCCTGCGTGGCCCAAGGCCTGCCTTGGAGCCGGCTCGTGGGGCCCGAGGTGGCCCAGCACGGGCCCCGGCGAGCAGGAGAAGGAGGAGGAGGGAGGAGTAGGAGTAGGAGTAGGAGGAGTAGGAGGACATGGAGGAGGAGGAGGACATGGAGGAGGAGGAGGAGGGCATGGAGGAGGAGGAGGAGGAGGAGGAGGAGGAGGAGGAGGAGGAGGAGGCGGAGCGCCCAGGGCGGGCACGCCCTGAGAGAGCGCGCCCGATGAGGACTCCCGAGCAAGGGGGGGGAGCCACGCGCAGAGGGCGGTGGGGGGCGGCAAAGAGGGGGGGTGATGGCTAGGGGGGGGGCTATCCTGGCGTGGGCCATGCTATTTCCGCTGATTCCATGGCGCCTCTTCTCATCTCCTTGCGTCCCTGGCCCCCCCCCCCTGGGGCCGCGCACGTGCCGCCAGTCATGATTTGCACCCCCTCCCCTCTTGGACACCCCCCTCGTGGCCGCTCCCGAAGGGCGGTGGGAGGACGGGTTCGAGAGGGCTTCTGCTTTTCTCGCCGTTGTCGGCCTCCGAGGGGCCGTTCTCGGGCCGCGGAGCCGCGAAACGCGCACGCCTGGGTGCCAAACTGCACGAGGCGGACGCCCCGACGAGGTCCGGGGACCGATCCTCTGAGCCGACTCGGTTTCACCCCCCCCCCCGTCCTGCAGGATCCTCGCGGGGCCCGTCCATCTCAGGCCCACTGGCCGCCGCCTCGTTCTGTTCCGCATCTCGTCCAGCCGATCGCCTGTCCCGCTGGCAGATGGGCATCTCGGCCCCGCCAGCCCTTGGCATCGCGCGGACGTGTGCATTGTTCCTTCGGCGAGGACCATCGAGGAGCCTCCTTGATCATCTGGCGACAAGCCACGCACGAAACCGAACAAAACACGGGGAATGGACGCCCGAGCGATGGCCAGAGCCCACCCTCCTTGGTGGGGACGGGCCCCGCGAGCCTTGGAGGAGACGGCATGCATCCCCACCTCGGTGGGCAAGGCGGCTCGCGGGGCCAAGGCCACGCCAGTGGGACTCAGGGGATCGGCGAAGCGGTGCTCCGTGGTGCGGTCCGACGGCCGATCGCGAGGCCGATGCAGTGCCCGCGAAGTGTGAGTTGTGGCGATGCCGTCTTTCGACGCGGCGGGGACGAGCGCGCCGCCTGTCGGCGGTCCCCTAAAGAACAAAAGGAGCCTCTCTCGTCGTCGTCCTCAGCATGGACCGTTCGCGTGTCCCCACCGCCTCGTCCTCAGGCAGCGGCCCGGCGAGCTGCTGGGAGAAGGGAGCATCGATGAGCAGGCAGGTGATACGAGGCCGACAAGAGCGACTCAGACGGCGGCTGAGAGCCACATTGGGGCTTTCTCTGGGCCTTCTGGGGGACTTCTCGGGCCCTTGTGGAGGCCATCGACCCCAAACGAAGGCAGCACGGACTGTCCCTTGGCCCTGCCCCCTTGGGAGTGCGGCAGCGCGCACTGTGGAGCCCCTGCTGGGGCGCGCCTGGAGTGCTCTTTGGGGCCGCCGTGGGCCTCTTGGGCGAGCCTGGGGCCCGTCTGAGGCCGGAGAGGCCCCTGGGGAGCCTTGGGAAGTACAGGTCCTTGGGCCTCGGTGGGCCGCCTTTGGCTGGCCGTCTCTGGCTGGCCGAAGCTCGCTTGGAGCCATCTTGAACGCTCTGACCGCTCGCGCCCTCTCCCCACCTCCTTCCACTCCTCCCCCCATCGTTCTCTACATTCCCCCCTCCTCCCCCCCATGAGTACAGTCGGGGCCTTGAAGAAGGAACGCTTTTCGTTGGGGAGGGGCTCGGTGTTCCTTGATTGTTTTACAGTTTGCCTCGGGTTTCCCTTAGGTTTTTGCATGGGAAATCGAAGTTCAACTTATGGAAAAGAGGGGCCTTGTTCCTTATTTAGGGTTCCTTAGGTCAACGCCCCGACTGTAGAAGCTAGCATGCCGGTCACCGTCCGCGTTCCACCATCCCTCCCGATTCCGCCTGCATCCCCCCAGATGTGTCGACCCCCCCAGAGGCATCCTCCTCCTCCTCCTCCTCCTCCTCCTCCTCCTCCTCCTCCTCCTCCGTCCTCCCTCCTCCTCCGTCCTCCCTCCTCCCTCCTCCCTCCTCCCTCCTTCACCTCATTATCCGTCTCATCCCTCACCTCTCCTCGCTTTCTCTCTCTCTCTCTCTCTCTCTCTTTTGTTCCCTCTCTCTCTCTCTCCCCCTCTTTCGCCTCCGTCTCGTCCTCCGTCCTCTCTCCTCCTTCCCTCTTCTCTCCTCTACTCTACTCCTTCCTCCGCCCCATCTACCTACCTCCACCTCGCCATCTCAGGGGAGGGGGACGACGACGAAGGCATGATGAGGAGAGAGGGGGATGGAGGTTAAGGACAAGAAAGACGAGGGGGAATATCAGGAGGAGGGGGGAAGGAGGAGGAGGAGGAGGAGGAGGAGAACTGGGACACGAGATGGAGGAAGGGGAGAATGACGGATGAACAGAGATGGTAGTGAGAAGGAGGAGGACTTCCAAGAATTTTTGTCTTACTCCCCACCCGCTACCCCATGCCGAGGCTCCTCTCTCTCCCGTTCGGGCCTTCTGTCCACATGCCCCTAACGCTTAGAAATTCTGTCGGCGTGCGCCGGCTTACGTTGGTTATCCAAGTGGTCCGCGAGATCCGTTGTAGGTAGCAGCACTTTGCGTACCCGAACCAGCCGATCCAGACACGGTTGCCAGGCAAGGGAAGCGTGGGAGCATCCAGAGGAACAGGCAGATGTGTCAGCCGTCACGCCGAAGCTTGGAATCGGCCTGTAGATTTGCCGAGCCCGGCGTCGAAGTAGGAGGAGGATGCGAAGGACACAGTAGACAAGGAATGATGAGAAGGATGGAGGAGGATTTAGAGGGAGGTGGGACGAGGAAGAGGCGGAGGAGGAGGAGGATGTCCAGGAGGAAGCGGCGGGATGAGGAATGGGGCGACGATGACGAGTGGAGGAGGAGGACGACGACGACGATGACGACGGCAGGAGTAAACCATGACATCCTCAGATGTTTTCGCTCATCTAAGTGCTCTCTTGGGGACCTTTTGGGAGCCGTTGGGGCCCTGTCGGCACTCTTGGACAGGTAGAGCCGGTCTGACTTTGTTTGTTTTGTCTCCCATGATTTGATTACTGCCAGGGGGACGCTCCGGGCAGCTCCTGGACGGCACTTTGTTCCTCATTGCGGTAGGTTCGTGTCGTGTCGACCGGCGGCTACCCCGCCAGCGGCGCTCAACGTTGAACGCCGCGGGCGACCCAGAATCGTTCGATGTGGAACGATTTGGACCTTTCGAAAAACGGCCGATCGTTCAAGGTTGAACTATCCTCGCGGTGTGAATTCGGCACGACACGAACTTGACGTACTTGTCTCGGTCTTGTGAGCTTTTTTTAGTCATTATTTTGCCGATCAGCCGGTCCCTCGCACCCCCCCCTCCCCCCCCGCGGAGTAGATCTTGGCTGTTTTGGGCGCCTGGTTCGAGCAGGTGGAATCTCCCCCATAAAACGCACGGTTCCAAACAGTCGCACTCAGCAGAGCTCCGGAGCCAGACCCCCCCCCCCTTCCCCTGCCCCCCCCCTTCCGCCCCATGTGCAGCAGCGGCCCTTCGGGCCCTCCTGGGGCCTGCCTGGAGGCAATCGGAACACGCAGGGCGAACCTCCGGAAGTGCCCCCAAGTTAGGGGGCCAGATGTGAACCCTACCCCTACCTCCCAGGATTTCTGAGGGGGAGGGTGGGGTTCACTTCGTTCGGGAGCTCCCGAGCAAAGTGAACCCCACCCTCCCCCTCAGAAATCGTGGGGGGTAGGGATAGGGTTCGCATCTGGCCCCTTACGAGTGGGTCCCGATTGCTCTTCGAGCAGTCGGGTCGGTCCGCCGTGGTCTCGGCCACGCTTTCTCGCCCGTGGGCGTCTCGCGGGCGCCTCGTGCCCCGGGTGGGGCCGCCGAGGCTTCGCCACGTTCCCGCCCTCGGGCGCTCTGTGGGCGCCCCGTGCCCCGGTCGGGGCCGCCGAGGTTTCCTCACGCTCCTGCCCGTGAGGAGAGCGCCGCTTGGGCGCCTCGTGCCTTGGGTTAAGTCGGGCGTGTCCCCCTACAGGGGGATTTTCGACGAAAAATTAAAAATATACAAAAAATGCCCCCAAACGGTGAAACAAATACTCAAAACATGATCCCCACACTATTTTTGGAATCTTTTTGAGTATTTTTGGGATATTTCTTATTTTTCGTCGAAAATCCCCCTGCAGGGGGACAGGCCCGACTTCAAGCCTTGGGTGGGTGTGCCGAGGTTTTGTCGCGTTCCCACCCGTGGCCGCCCCGTGGGTGCCCCGTGGGTGCCCCGTGCCCCGGGTGGGGCCGCCGAGGCTTCGCCGCGGTCCCGCCCTCGGGCGCCTCGGGGGCGCCCCGTGCGTCCTGGGTGGGGCCGCCGAGGCTTCGCCGCGTCTCCGCCGCGGCACAGGTCGCAGCGCATAGCTCACATCGCATGGCTGACACAAAGCTCACGCTGCGTGCGCAGGTCACGCCAGTTCACACCAAGTAACTTACAGTCAACGCGCCTGGTAAGGACGCGCGCCTTCACCTAGGATACCCTTGCGTCCTCGCCTCTGTGGCCCGTCCTTTGCCGTTTTCACTGGTCGCCGCGGCCCAAAAAATCCCATCTTCAGCCTCCAAGGGTCTTGCGTCCTTACCACGCGTCCTTGATATACGTTTTGACTGTCACCGCATGGCTTGCACACGTAGCTCACACCACATAGTTTACACAACCTAGTTCACGCAACACAGCCTGCACCACTTGGTTCACGCAACATAGCTCACTCAGTATAGCTTACTCTGTATGGCTTGCGCAGCATAGCTCACACCTGATATCTTACTCTGCATAGCGGTCACCTCCACAGTGCAACGACTCAGTTTCTGAGTCCACACTGGCAACGTGTAGGCATATGTATGTGTGTCTGCTCTTCCGGAGGAGCGGGAGGTCCTCTGGTTCCTCGTTCTCCGCCTGCGTGCGCCTCTTGAAGCTCTGCTTCCTCCCGCTGCGTGCTGTGCTGCTCGCACGCGCTCTGATCCCTCTCTTCCTCCCACCACGGCTCGCGCTCATCTGTCCACTTCCCCGTTCCCTCCTCGACCCCCCCCCCCCGGAGTCCCCAAAGAGCCCCCGTGGAAATGCCAACAGGACCCCCCGAGAGCGAGGCTCCCTTCTGCCCCGTCCCTCAGCAACGATTGCCACGACGACGACGACGACGACGACGACGACCTTCGCCACGGCGGGGCGGCGAGCTCGCCAGGCGGCGCTGGCGCCGCCGCGAGTGCCGAGGCGACGCCCCCCCCCTCCCCTCACGCCGCCGCCGCGGCCCTGACGGCCGAGGGCGGCCGCGGACGGGCACGCCCGAGAGAGCGAGACGACACGCGGAGCTCGCTTGCCGCGGCATTCCCTTACCTTGGCAGTCGTTGTCCCTCCGAGTTTCCACTCGCAATGCCAGGTGCTTGAACAAAAAACTGCAACGCCAGGATCTCGGGGAAGCACTTTGCGGCGAGCCCCGGGGGGATCTGAGAGGGGGCAGGCCTTTTCAGAAAGCGGCGGGACTTCTCAGAACGCTTCGCGCCTTCTGAGAAGCTTTATTGAGCCTGTTCCGACGGCAGAGGCGCTTCGGAGAAGCCCCGTTCGGAGCTCAAGGGACCGGGGTCGATGCAAATGGGGTTCAGCCAGGGCGCTGCTGAAACTTGCAGGATCCTGAAGAGCCAGGGTCGCTTTGACCCGGGCTTTGGTGCAGGATCCTGCAGCATCTCGCAGCATCCAGCGGAGCCCGACCTGACCCAGGTTTGGATTGACCCGGTTCAGTAGCTTTAAGTCGGGCGTGTCCCTCTACAGGAGGAATATTCAAACATAAACAAAATAGTCATGGGACGATTTTCAAATTATTTTTGATAATATTGGAGTCATTTTTTGGCTGTTTTTATTTTCGCCCCAAAACACCCTGTAGGCGGACATGCCCGACCTAACAGTAGCTCCCTGACCCGTCGCCCGCCGGTGCATTGGCCTGTCCCCTCTGACTCCCCCCCCAGGCTCGCCGCCGAGACACGTCAAACTCGTCTTGCTATGCTGTCGTTCTCTTTTTGCCTGTTTTGCCGGTCGGCGCGGGCCCTCGCACACCCCCTCCATTCCCCCCCATAGAG